CGGAACAGTGGTCGAACCGGTTTAACTAATATATAATTTATTTATTCATTTTATATGTATAAAATATAATTATATATATTTTTATCATTAATTTTATAGCATATAATGACATTTTTCTAAATGAACTGATAAATCAATATGTTAAGTATAGTTTACCATAAGCAATACTAATTTAAGTTAATTAAAACAATAGATTAATAATTCAATATCTAAAACAAGTCAATCCAAATTACAAATACAAACTACAACTCATCAAACATCAAAATAAGTTCAATCCAAGAATTTTGATTTCAGAATTTTGGAGGAGTCGACGACACGACTCAGTCTTTTCTCTTTTGTTTGATTTTTTTTTTTAAATTCATTAAGATATTTCTTTAATATTGGGCTTGCAAAGAAAAATAAAAAATATGAAGATAGTTAATAAGTTGGAACGTTGGATTGGGCCAACAAATTTACGGGCCTAACACTAACAGTAACAGCAAACGCAAGAATTTGATTTCAATATTAAAAATTCAGGACCGCTGAACCGGCCGAACCGGTACCGGTTCACCAATTCTACACCGGTTCGGACGGTTCGATGCCGATTCTTGCTCCCAGCGGTTCAAACTCTCAAAATCGGACCGGTACCATGACCGGTTCCTTGTCCAACCTGTCGAACCGGCTGGGCCACTTTGGTTTTGACAACATTGGTTAAAATATTAAAGGAAGAGAAAATAAAATAAATGACAAATTTATCATTAATTAATAAAGTAAGGTAAAAAATTAAAACAATTGAAAGTAGGGACAAAATGGTCATTTTACATCATATTAAAACTCTTTCCCTTCAAATTCCTCCAATTTTGGAGGGGAGAAAAAGTGAAGGAGGGGAGGAAAATTTACTTAAATTTTTTCTCTCTCTTCCCTCTGCTAATTTTGCAACCAAATAAGTGAAAATTAAATTTCTCCATTCCTTCCCCACCCCTCCCCTCTAAATCCCTCAAACCAAACACTACCTAAGGACCATTTGTTAGGCATGATAGGACAAAATTACCACGCTAATCCCGGGTTTGTCCAGCGTTCAATAGCAATGACTCTGGCCCGCTAGACTATATTCGGCCGGGAATGAAAATACATTTAGTCTAGCATATTCAAGGTCCCGTGTGGAGGGTGTGATTCTTTTCATCCCAATAGTACAAACATGCGAAAATGAAAAATTAGACCCAAAATCTTCTTTTTTTTTTTTTTTTAACCAAATTAACTTTTATGTGCAAGAAATTAACAAAACAACCATTTAGCCCTAGAAATGAAAACGTCGGATTTCACAATCCACTAACCAATGGAAGAATTGTTGAGCTCTTTCACACCAATTCTTAATACATAACTGAGTAGGAGGACGACAACGGCGGGACTGGAGTTGATGCGGGCGGCGGCTAGAAGCACTTGCACTTGTTTTTGGTTCAGAACAGGTTGTTCAAGATTGAGCTCGGAGGAGGCAGTAGAGGCAGCGATGGTGGAGATAGATGATATTCTCAGTTTTTCAAGTCACCAGTCTTGTTGTTTGGGTTATTCTCATCTTTCATACTGATTAAAATAACATCATCTTACTGTTTGGGTCTTTTTGATGATGTTTTATTCAATTTGGTCAGGGGCAGATCCACATGCAAGCGAGCCTAGACAATTGCCTAGGCTTAATTTTTTGTGCTAACATAGTTAACATGTGTTAATAAAAAATTTAAATTCCGTAAAAATATAAATACAAATTATTGTTTTAAAATTTTAAATAATTCTTACCAAATATTATTATTATTGTTTTTATTTAAACTGATACACTTCACAGTCAGATTCGATGGTATTATGTGATAACATTTTTAGTACTTATACCATATAATAAGCTTGATATGTAAATTTATTGTTTTTCAATTATAATTAATAAATATTTAAATTTTTATTGATAGAGATCAAATATATATAATTATTCTAATTTACATATAAAATATGAATGTCAAATTTTATATTGCCAAAATATGACTAATTTAAGTTATCATATATATAAAAAGAAAATATTTATAAATGTTATTGAGTTTTAAAATATATTTACAATTGAAGTTACCCAAGCGTTTAAATTTGGAAGTTTTCGATAAAGATCCATATTCGTATGGACTATATTATGAATCCTTAGGAATTACAAAATCTTGGAAATTGACAATGAAAATTTATTTATCTAAAAGAAGATAATCTATGAGAAATTTTTTATAAAATAACAATAACAAAAAATGATGACATTTAGGCTTTCTTAAATTAAAAAATTATATTTTAAAATGACATGCTTAGTTCTTATTACAAAAAATGAAGGAAAAAATGGATTGTAAAACATTTTTGGTATATTTCTTAATAATAATAAAAGCGCAAAATAAAATAACCAAGCCTCATTCTCAATTTTATTTTTTAGCATCAAGTCAAACACAAATTAAATAAGGAACTACTCAGCACTCGATTATTTCAACAATTTGTTTAATTGTTAATATAAGTACTTTGTGCAATGTGGTTAAAAATTTATTCGATAACTCATGAAAATTTCTGGATCCGTCGCTGAATTTGGTCTCATCTTTTTTTTTTTTTGTTGCAGATGATGTTTTATTCAACAGAATGATGAACTAGGGGAAAAAATCAAATTAAATTCATTTTTTCTCTTTATTATTACTATGTTAGTTATTTATTTATTATTAGTTTATGTTGCACATTATTATATTTATTCAAGGTTATGTACACAAATGAATTAGGAAAAAAAAAAATCCAATTGCAACTGTTAAGATAAGGATAAAAGAATTTCTCCCCAGGCCTCTGGCGAAAAAAAAAAATTCTATCCCCAAATTCCGCTCGTCGCAACCTCATTCTTCCGGTTGATTTGCCTTTCTCGGCGACGGAGAAGCCACGGCTAGGGGTCGTCCTTGACCGCTCAGACCACCCCTGAGTAGCACGCCTCTGATGTTGTTGTGGATAGTCCGCGATTGGTGGTCTGGTCCTTGGT